TTATAATATTATTCATAGGATATTGGGAAAGCATGGCGAGGAATGTCTGTATTGGTTTGGGTGGGTCTGTGAAAATTGTATCAACATGTACAGAAACTGCAAAAATCTGAGCTTCCTGCAAAGTAAATCTCCCTGTGTCAGTTGTCCCTTTGCTCTTGAGGGCTGTGAATAAAATGCTTAGAAGCCACCCGACAAACCAAACAATCCAGGGCAGATTTCAGGTTCCCCCGTAATGATTGTGTTCCAGCGAACTCTCACAATGAATTGGGAAGAGCTAAAAATAGCTCCACACGAGAGGCGGTGACAGACTCTCTGCTAGCCTGTGGTCCTGAGAGAGAGAGAGAGAGAGAATGACAGGCTTTCTACGAGCGTCTGTACTACTGCAGTGTGGTTTCTGTGTCTGTTTACAGGCACATCACGTCTCTTATCATTAGATTGTAATTTTGATGCGACCCGCTCTCGCTTGTGGATTATTTTAAATGTATTATTCTTAATCTTCTAAGTCAAACTAAGCATTAAATTGATTCTCAAACTATAAAGCTTTTGATGGTAATTTAGGGTGGCATATGTGAACAGTAGTGGCAGGCTGTGCTTTTAGTAGGCCCTGGGCCTTCTGACATGACATAGCAGTCCATCTTCTAATCACACTTACAGAAATCCTCAACTCTGAAAAAAACCAATAAGACGCAATGATGCACAGAGAGAGAAATTTTGGAAAATTATATAAAAAAAAAATTCTAATAGGTGTACAACTCAGTAGTGTTTTTCCTCTGAATCAATAAGGGCCAATACTAAAATCAGGGTGTGGACACACATTTGGAGGATTTCTATAGCCTTTAACCCTTTAAATTCTGGGGCCTTTTTAAGCGTTTTTAATTGCTTTATAAGTTGCTCTTATAATTTATTTTTAATTTTTTGTGGCGACGTTTCATGTCATTTTATTACACGGCAATCTTGAAATCATACAAAAAATAACTGTTCCAAGCACTTTTATTTTCCATTTTGCTTTGTTTTGTGCCAGAATTTCGAAAAACACCAGCTATATCACAGGTCTTGTACTTTCCAAGGGTTATCCCTTCTTTTCACCACTAGATGGCACCGATTTGGTGTCTGAAAATCGAAAGAGAGAGTCAGAGTCATTATTGTGACCTTGAGCTTCATCCAAAAATACTTCCACAAGTATTCGCTTTGTAACTAAATTGAAAAGGTAATGATAAAAAAAATGTGTTAAGAAATAACATGACATTTAATCTTTCTTGTCTTTATTGAGAACAAAAATGGTAACTCTTGAGTTAATGACCTAAAAAAATTCAAGTCAGGTTTTTGGAAAAAAAGTTTTTGACTTTGACAAAACCCTTCAAATTTTTCAAGTTCATAAATATTGAAAACAATGAAAATCCAAAGGGTTCACATACTTTTTCATGCTACTGTACATGACAGCACATAAAGGCAGAAATACGATGTATTGAAAGAAAATCTGTGCTTTCCAAAAAAAGGGTTTGTAATTTAGCGAACAGACTTTTTGGAGTAAATGATTTTATGGAACACATTTTAGAATGTAGATTGTTAATGTTGGTCAGTACTTTTGATATTGCTTTGGCAGCAGAGGCATAAGAGGTCCTGATGTTCTGCAGGTAAATTTTTTATAGATATTATAAATAAATATGAATCAAAGCTTAGATCACTGACATATAACAATGACTTGGGTCCATTGCCTATACCTTTTGCAGAAACTCATTGCTTTGCCCATGTATGTGCTGTACATCAATTATTAATAATCTGAAAGGCTCAAAAAGATTTTCAAGATTCAAATAATTGATAAGGTGTATTGTTGCAAAGACTTGAGCACTATCCTGTCATGTTAGAGACTTGGTAGGCTCCATTTCTAAATGGATGTTCCTTCTGATGTCAGTGATTTTTTTTTTCTCATGCCCACTGCCAGCCTACCATTCAATTTTCCCTCCATAAGCATAACAGGAAGTGACTAATTGCTATTCATCCACTGGCCACTTGAGCCTGGTGTCAAAAGTGGGAAGGTTCCCAATTACACCCATGATAAAGGAACACTCCGCTTTTTCGCACCTCAATTCAGATCCCCCCTGAGAGAATATATAATGTCTTGTCTTGTCCTCTTTAAAAATGCTAAGTTGGTACAGAAATATATAACAGGTTAGAAAGAAACAAGGCTTATCAATGTCACATAGATGTAGAAGTTGTCTTCAGATAACAAGAGAACCTTCAGCAGCAGAACAGTAAACTCCACGAAGGATCCAAAACACTTAGATAGACAGATATGGTTAGGTATAGCCAAGTCATCTGAATTTTGTGGACAGTTGAGTGGACCAGGGCTCTCTGAGACACAGCAATGGTATACCATGACATCACCATTACAACCAGGCATGCAATCACTCTGGTGAGTCAGGTAGTGTGAACTGTAGATCTGACAGTTTGGCTGGCGCAAGAAGGTGTCTTTTAAGGGGTTGAGAGGGTCATGTGATGAAGACATTGGCCAGGCATAATATGTTGTTTAGTCATGGCCTGTGTGTGGCTCTAGTCTGGAATCTTGACTTGGTCGGGTCATGTATAATAATCTTTGCCGAACTTGGTTTCCAAAGTGTTTTAATTAATTAATCAAGTAGAAGTATTAATACACTCTAAAAAAGTTGGGTTAAACTAACCCAACTGCTGGGTTACAACATTAAACCCAGAAAGCTGGGTCGTTTTTTCACCCAACCAACTGGTTAATTTAAACAGCTTGCTGGGTTATTCATAACCTATGCTTTGGGTCACACTTTAACCCAACCATTGAATTCCGTTTTGCTGGGTTAATTTTTTTTTGCTGATTGTTTTTTTTTTTTATCAGACGAGGCAGTGTGTTTGTGTAATAGACATAACGTGAGTTTTATTTTTGATACGTACGATTGTTTTGGACGAAAATTTCAGACTTCAGTGTGCAAAGACCTTAAGACTTAAACTTAGGTGGCTGTCAAAAGCAACACTGCATTACACCTTCATTATCTGAATGTATCACGGTAAACATTCTTCAGAGTGATATTTTCCATGCTCATGCATTTTGCACTGTGTGTCTTTCAATGCAGCCCTTGAGAGGAGGAAGGGGATGTTGTCGAGTAACCCAGTCAAGTGGTTTGGTTCCCTGCAGTTACACTCAAACCACTCTTGATGTGACTCTGCATGAGGTTTTCTACTGTATTCTCTCTTGCTGGAGTGCTTTTACACTCACCAATTCATGTCGTCTTTTGCAATAAGAGCAGCTTTTTTCTCAACTTAATCTCAAGGACTTGACCCCTCTTTAAGCCCAGAGGAAAGGGTTTGGTTTGGCCACGATTTTGCTGCCTCAAGACAAAAGTCTGGGATTTTGTATTGTCAGCATTGTCTGTCTTATCCAAAGTTCCAATATCATTAATGTTACACAGCCTCTTGGCTGTTACTCAAGGTTCGTCTGAGTTCTTCACAAAGAATCGAATACTATTGATGTGTTTTTTTTTATGTGTAAATACAGCTGTCACTATATATCTTTTATCACATACAATGTTTAAATATGCAGCTTTTAAAATGAGAAGCAGAATGAGAGTTCTGCTTTGTTATGCTAAGTTATTTATCACACAAGTGTTTTTCCCTCTCTTTTTGTGCAACAGTGGCATATGTTCTGTTTCACAGCGTGTTGAACACTGCTCTAAGCTGCCAAATGGACATGTTTATTCGCCACTTGACACATGCTGTTACTGCATTCTTTGTTTAGTGATTTATTAAACTTCATAGGCTGTTTTCTTGATGGTTATTTTTCGGATCTCAGCTTAAATTCACTTTCTGTAAAAATGTAAAATCTCATTTTAGAATAATAAAATAATTTTTGTTGATGACTATAAATCATTCAAAACATTTTAATGATGAATCAATCAAATACAATCATTAAAAACCTTTTGTAATTGATGAGATTTTGTTTTGCTTGTTTTACCGTAGTTTATATTAGGGATCGAAGTTTAAAAAAATCATTCTGCAGCCATCCTCAGGGGGGCGATCGCGGCATTGTTTTTATTTTTTCAATCAGTCGGCCATGTGAGACACACTTGTGTGTATGACATGCTTATTATATATTTTTAAGAACTTTGTTCTGAGAAAACAAAGAAACATATACCTTTTTAAATGAAACATACCTTTTTTTAAACTATTCAACAATCCATCGCACAATACATTTACATTTATGTATTTATTTATTTATGTTTTTGACTTACACGTCGGGAATAAACATAAGCAATTTGTTACAAGGGCGGTTTAATCATAAGCCATGCACATAGAAGACATTCGAGTAGATACAGAATAAATTCAGTGCTTCAGATTTTCGTTAAGTACTCTCGAAAGAGTTTTATGCATAGAGTAAAACCTTATACATAGTAATAAACAAAGTTGAGTAGATTTTAAATAGATAATCAGGTGTGCAGAACACATTACAACGAAATTCTCAGATTTAATGTTGCAAACTAGTTTTTTTTGTTTGAGCTCTTTTGTTTTATCATTGATAAAGAGTGATGCGTATTGTTTTTTTCAGTTTGATAATGATGTTTAGGAACTGTAGGAACCTTAATAGGAACTTTGTTTTTACTAACATTAACCAAAGAACCATTTCATTATTTAGACCATAGCGAGTGTGATATAAGTAAGGGATAATCAATGGATAGCCATGGTTTTGGCTGTGTTAAAGCATGAAGTGGACACAAAGAATTACCCGTCACAAAGTGGCGACACTCTTTAACTGACAATGCTCAGAGGCAACTTGAGTATATTTAATTATTAATTTTGCCAAATTTTAGACAGTCACTTCTGGACTTTGTTTGGTTTGTCCAACAAACTTTATTAGAGACTTTTTCTTTGATGAGTCCATGAAGAGAACATATTAAAATGTTGAAAATTTTATGCGTAAATCCCACAAGTGTCCAAATTAGTATGGATCACGAGATCTGCAATCATCTGTTCTCAAAGAGGATCCTATCCAGGGTTTAAACCTGGAACCTTCTGATTGAGGGGCAAAATCCTAACCACTAAATCACCCAAAAAGGACCATTTTTAACTGGAAATCCTGCTCATAATATTGATTAACTGGATAAACTGTAATATTTTAGTCATGTTTAGAGGATCTTTTAAAATGTTTGCTGGCAGCTTTCTGTAATACTGACATTACCTCATTGTTGTTGTTTTTTTTAACATGATATAGATATGTGGATAATGATGGACAAGCTTTTTTACTTCACCAGACTCTAGTTGAAGAAGAGAAAAGTAGTGAATTTAGGGTTAGCATAAATGGAGATGTACAGAGTAAGATGGAGGTACATCGAGATTAAGATCATGTCTCTCTCTGAGTCGTGTCATGAGTGCAAAAGAGAAAATGCCCTTTTTTTCTCATGTTCTGCCTCCTTGGAGAGGCAACGAATCAAATCGTGATATCGACTTTAATCATAATGCCAAAACCAGGACTCATAACTCACAGCTCCTTCTTAAATTGGATGGCTTTGCAGAGCTTATGGAGCATGCACACATCTCTTGCACTTATTGGAATGCCTTGTTAAAATAATTAAGTTCAAGAAACTGCATACATTTTTAATTAAGGTCCTGCATAAGGTCCTCCTAATTAAGGTCCTGCAGGGGTGCATACATTTGTCCGTAGCACCGGGGTCTTCACAGTGCCATATATAAAGACACATATTCCAAGGGGAGATTTTGAGACATTTCAGAACTTTGCTGGGACTCGAGAGACGGGATTGTAATGAACGGAACGTTTCAGACACGCTAGCGTTTCATATTTTTAGAGAAACGGGATGATATTATTTAGTATCATCATTGATATTAATATTTTTTGCAATGCTTACAATTTTCTATCACAGTAACAACTGTAGCAAGCGCTAAAGTTAGAGGAGGTGGAAGTGGTGGAATTGTCAGCGCTATGAGGAGTCTCTTTCAACATTTTTTAAACCTGTGGTTTATATTTTGGTAAAGAGTATGACATAGATGGAAAAAGAACGTTAAACTAAAAAGGCAACATATGAAACATGAGCGCTTATCTGCTCCGTCTTCAGACAGCTGGTCTCCCGATTTAGCAAAATAAAGTGAATTCTATCAAACGCCCATTATTTATCTGTTCCTGTGAACAATATAAAGTTTTTTATTTAAAAAGTACAAATTCACTGAGCCGATCCGAAAACCGTGGTTAAAAACCAATGTACATACCAAACCATGAGCTTTGTGTACCGTTGTATCCCTAGCATCAACTCATTGAATTTATTTAATTACATTGGTTTCTGTTGCTGGACCAAGTACATTAACCCTTTAGAAGTCTCTGTACGCACTGGTGCATGTGCCAACAAAACCCAGCTATTGTTTAATTTTTATTTAAAAATTTTATTTAATTATTTAAAAATAATGTGTAGGTTTTTTAAAAAAAAGTGATTAGTTTTGATATTTTTTATTGAACATTGCAAGACTTCTGACACAATTTGCAAGGTAATTCAAATTAAAGAATGAGTAAATGCACAATCGTCTTTCAGTTTCATTTTACAGACCCCAAATCAGTGCCATTATAGCAAGGAATGACCATTGGAAATACAAGATATGTGAGATATGTCCTGTTTTTTTTTTTAAAGTTCTGGGAACAAAAAAGCACTATGGCACAAAATGCATGGAGATGCATGTGACACACAGTATCCACTGAGAGCAGACAGTTCATCGAAGATTGTCACGTAAAGGAGGAATCCAATAAAAATAAATGTGTATTGAAAAATAATTAAAGTTTTTATTTTTATTTTTACCTTGGATACGTTTCTACCTGTTGAAAAACCACTTCAAAAACCAAATCCTTAACTTTTCAAAATGATGATATAAGCACTCTGTCGAGACCAAGTGTATCACTATCAATCAGTCAATCAATCTTTATTTATATAGCCCTTTACAACACCAGTGGTGCCCAAAGTGCTTTCCAATTATTACTAGTACTATTAAACTCCTTTTTTGTTTCGTTTTAAATAGACATATTCCTATCTCTTGGGGATGACAGGATTCACACAGTGTTGCTATTCTGAGAGAGAAACGGGCGAATGTCTTGCTCTTTGGCCTATATAAGAACAAGAATAACAGGTTATTTTGTAAATGGATCTTTCATGAAAGAATAGCAATTCCAAGGCTGAATCCTCTCCCATACCCGGATTTATTCTGCAGCTTTAAAGTGCAAAAGTATCACCTTCACGATACGCCAGACTGATTCGAGCTGAACAATTCAACGTGTAATGAAACCCATCTCTGCTCAGCAATGCAGTTGGTTATAATATTACTGTGATTACAGCTTGCGAAACCATGACCACCGTTGTTACTCCCTGAGGCTATTCATGTGTTCCAGTGCATTTTTCCAAGGGCTAAAAATGGTCTCATCCTGTGTTCAATGGTGAATTATGAATGAATGGAATTGGAATTTTGAAAAAAGCGAATGTTGAATCGACTCAATTAGAAATGCATTAAAACAAGGAGTGAGGTTATGTCTGTACTTCCTCAGACAGGTCTCATAGGACTAGTCGGAATAGTCGGCACCTCTGTGTCTCCCCTCTATCCAGCTTTTAAAGCCATTTCATGTTTAGATGACATTAACGAAATAATTGTCGCCAACATGTGCCCCATTTAATCTCCATAAAGGTTTTCGGCACTGGTCTTTCTTCTCTCTATGATCACAAAGGTAGTAGGGTGGACAATAAGTTGTGCATAGTTACAATGGCGTGCACTGTATGGAGCTCTCGTCATTTTCTTAATTCCATCTACCGTATCTCAAATGAATTCACAGACATTTTGATCAATGTTTATGTGGACAACATCCAGCATCAATACTTTTCATTAAGCCTTGAATAGCCCTGAAACTATTAAACATTTTTCAGTTTTCTAATCATTAAAATCAAATATATTAAAATCAAGCATACTATCTTGAAATAAATCTCTAAAAAATAAAAATTGTACAGTTACTGGAGAAGACAGTATTTGACCCCACTGCTGATTTTGAACATTTGAGTGTCTCCCCCTGGTGCATAGCTGCAGAATTTACCTCACTTTAACCAACCATGAATTTGTTTCAGTAATGTTATTTTGGAATTTTTTTTTTTTTTTTTAGATCAGTGGTTTGTTTGTGTGTTATGCAATGGTCTGTCTGAATACTGGATTATGATTGGCCGAAAGGTGTTGATTAATTTCGTATAAATGCACAAGTAGATCTGTTTTGGTTTGTTCACTTAAAGTAGAAACCGCCGTTATAGACAACCATATTTCACAGCTTTGATTACTAGCCAGAGGGCTGCAGCAAAACATTTCCAGATTTGTTGAGTACTAGATTATCTTCATCGACCCATTTATTTTGCACCTTGTGAGTATAAGTAGAAACCACAGCTGAGAGTTGATTTTCTTTTTTAAGCTAATCTTTTGCGTATTATATCCCAGGATCACTTGTGAACTTGGTTGTTCGCCATCTCTGTCTTTGAAGTGAAGCACTTTAGAGTAATGAAAAATGGGCAATAGACGTAGGTTGTGTGAACAGAAAAATTTCCCCACAGCTCCCTAGGCACCGCTGCTCTGGCTGCCCACTGCTCCAGGTGTGTGTTCACGGTGTGTTAAAATGCAGAGCACAAATTCCTCGTATGGGAAACTCAGTTTGTAACGTTCAAGTTAGAAGCTAGAAGAGAAAGAACAATGAGTGTTGTTGCTGAAGATCCTGTTAACACACAGCGTTTTAGTTCCTAAAAAGGATTTCATTTCAATAAATTACTTCGAATTCAAACCAGATGATGGTAGTCAGCAAACTAATTACTGCAAGCAATGTTAAGTCAAAGGGGAACACTACAAATTTGTACGGCAGCATGAAATGGTACGGAAAAAACAAACTGCTCAATCACAACATGCTCAAATCGTAACGTTATTCAATGGAACTCCCTATGCAACACCCCCCCCCCCAAAAAAAAAAAAAAAAAAAAAAGATGGGTTTAAATAAAGTCATCGAAACCCTTTATAAGTGCTATTACAAGCCCTCTCTTAGTTATTTTTCCACACAATGCAACGCTTGCTCTGTACTGTGAAGCTGTTGAGATGGAATTGAGAGACGCCCATAACTGTGCAGCCACTCCCAATTTGTGCATGTTCTGCACTGATGCCACAAAATCTTGATAGACTAGTGTTTCTTAATATTTAAATTGCTTTACTCTGACATACCTTTTAATCTTTTTTTATGTTTAATCGTGACTTTTTTTTCTTTAAATTCTTTATTTTTTTCAGTGCATTTCTTTACATTTGATGCAAAATCTTATCAAAGAAAAGGTGTAAAAAATCAAAGAAAAGGTGTACAGAGCAGCTATGATGTATGGGTTGGAGACTGTGGCAGTGAGGAAGAGACAAGAGGCAGAGATGGAAGTAGCAGAGATGAGGATGTTGAGTTTCAGTTTAGGAGTGACGAGGATGGACAAGATTAGGAACGAGCACATCAGAGGGACAGCTCAGGTTGGTTGTTTTGGAGACAAAGTCAGAGAGGCCAGATTGAGATGGTTTGGACATGTGCAGAGGAGGGATGGTGGTTATATTGGTAGAAGGATGTTGGAGATGGCAGGCAAGAGGTCAAGAGGAAGACCAAAGACAAGATATATGGATGTGCTGAAAGAGGACATGAAGTTAGTTGGTGCAAGAGTAGAGGATACTGAGGACAGAGTTAGGTGGAAACAGAAGATTCGCTGTGGCGACCCCTAAACTGGGAACAGCCGAAAGTAAAAGAAGAAGTACTGCCATGTTACTGCTGTCTCATGACCTAATGTTCAGGGGAAAACAGAATTATGATCTTCATTCTCAACAAAATAATCGTGATTCTAATTTTATCCAGATTTGTGCAGCTTTAATTCATAGCAACATTTGACCCACAAGTTTCTTGGGAAACATGGAAAGCTTGTTAGGTGCTGCATGCTGATGTTGGGGTTAAGCAGTCACAGAGACAGAATGAAAATGTTGGAACGTCACACATTAATGGAAGGTGAGACCTCATTGTTTCAGCAGAGT